TGTTTAGTTTTACTTGTTGTTGAGAAAAAATTAATCATTGTTCTTTTTAAATATTGTTTTTTAGAATTTTTTTGAAAGTAGAATGATTGTCTGAATTTTTCCATTCAACCATGGCTTCCCTAGAAGGGAAAGTTAACCACGTTCTCTCGTTAACTGAGCTATAATCTGTCGCTGATGACAGACAGATAGATAGATAGAGAGAGAGAGAGAGATAAACTAACCTGTGTATGTGTGTGCAATATAGATATACAGTCAGTATATACAGATAGGCAGTTTCTTTATGCACACATACATACACACGCACATACACATATATACATATATATATATGTGTGTGTGTGTGTGTGTGTGTGTGTGTGTGTGTGTGTGTGTGTGTGTAAAGGTAAAAGACTGTGTTATTATCCGACGCGTTTCGTCCAATGTGGACTTTTTCAAGGCAAAAACCAAATTAATTTATTCAAAGTAACTATTAACAACAAAACAAAATGTCCTTAACAACTAGAAGAATTTAGAAAACGTTATTGTATTCATATTTTCAACGGAAAATTACACCAAGTACTTTCACGTGTAGAAATATTGTTTTTATTGTTGTGTTGACGGATTCAACCATTTTCTTTTGATTTCTTGATACTGTTGAGTACGTTTACTTGGGAGAGTAGTAATTCTGTTAAGAAAGGTGAAATAGGGAAAACGCCTGGGCGTAGATTAATATTTGGATAATATTCAATACCGGCACTCTCGGGGATTTTCCTTCTGAGTGAGTTATTTTCTTTTTTTATGAGTGTAACATTTTTAAAATCAAAATTGTGGTTGAATTTATTTCTATGCATGACTAGTGCATTAGTTAAGTTTTTTGTGAGGTCTCTTTTATAAAATCTTCGTAGATGTATGTGTGCGCGTGTGTGTGTGTGTGTGGAGAGAGAGAGAAAAGAAAAGTTACGAGGTCTGTACGCAAAGTATCCATACATTTTGTTCTCAATGAGAAGCTGATTGAAATTTATATAAAATCTTTCTCTTAAAACAATTTTTTCATAAAAATAAGTTTTTTCAACTTTAGTAGTAGTAGAGCGTTTCATTTCTAAACATTTATTTGAAACATCAACATCTTGACGATGTCATTATTTTCTCTTTGAATTACATGTGCTATCCATTTCAGATGTTACTGCTTTTGGTAGTCCTCAAGTGATGTGGTTTCTGTTATTTGGTATATTTCTTTGTGATTTTGTAGCGCCAATCCACAAGACTCGAAGAACTGTGGTCTTCACCAAGACACACAGGCTTCACTCACGCAAAGCCACTTTTAACCATTGATCTTAGTTTATATACAGCTGACAGTTTAAATATTTTTGAGCGGGTTTTGCGTCATGACTCCCATATGAAATTCTCGATCAGTCGAAGCGATGTAAGAATATGACTTGAGTTTTCAAATCAGTAACCAGTAAGGTAGAACCTGAGTATATAAGCGAGAATTGTAATATGCCATCGAGCTTCCTCAATCGACAGTGAGAAGCCATTCAGGGGGGCGTGTGTATTGTGCGACCATCACATTCCCCATGAAAATGTACCATTCTTTACGCTTCGTGAAAGTTTTTTTTTTCCCCAAAAAACATCATTTATGAATATAAGCCAAGCCAATTACAGTAGCGATTTATCTCTCTAAGGCTTCTGGATTTTCCAAACATTACAATAGCCATTAAAAGAAGATAAATTTAGACTGTATGAGATTAATAAGAACGCAAAGAGAGAGTTGATGGTAATCCCGATAGAGAATTTTACTGACTGTTATGAAAAGTGCAAGGGACATCAGAATAAGTGTGTGCTATCCCAAGAGAAGTGCTTTGAGGAGAATTAAAATGCTATCGCCCAACGTAGGCTATTTTTTTAGCTGTGTTTTCTGACAAATCTTGTAGACTAGTTTGTGCCGAAAATTCCTCTTGTTCACTTCCCAAAACATGACCAGAATCAACATTTTTGGAGGAATCTCTTCTTTGTCGAATCGAGAACTTTCCAGCAGCCAACTCTTTATAATCTAGTTGTTGTGAGGGAGAATATTTCTCTACAAGTTTGGACTCGGCCGTCGGACGAAAAACATGAAAATACTCCGACATATAGAGGAGTAGCAGTAGCAGTAGCAGCAGTAGCCTTTGCTGAAAACAGTTAATCATTCTCTTCCCTAGTTTATATTATATGTTTCCTTGTAACAAAAGCTAATAAACGTGTTTTTAAATAAATTGCAGTTTCTATTGTTGTTTTTGATAACTCAGTTACAACACTAGTGTATCGTTTTTTTTTCATGTGCCATGTCTTTTCAGGATATGAGTGATCATGGCTTTCCTCGACTTTCTCTATATAGATATCTCTAACTACGCACGCATGTACCGTTTGACTAGTGATCATCAAAATCAATATGTATCAAATGTTTTTTTAGGAAACTATTATCGATGATTTCAGAGAAAGATTTCCCTGCTCTGTCTGTTGAATCGCATCTGTCATCTTTCATTGTTTCTATTTTGTTTTAATCATTTGTTAAGAATAGATGATTATTCTTTTATATGGAGGCAAACCGCGAATTAGAATGAAGCCATGTAATCCATGTATACAAACTACAGTATATATATATATATATATATATATATATATATATATATATATATATATATATATAAAAGAAAGAACAGTTAGATTTATACACCAGAATTCTTTAGCATTTATTTTTAAAAACAGGGCTCAATACACAATATTAATATTTATATATATATATATATATATATATATATATATATATATATATATATATTATAATATTATAATGTACAGATATATATATATAATATATATATATATATATATATATATATATATATTATTATTATTATTATTATACCCAGTAGAACATAATACACATACACACACACACACACACACACACATATATATATATATATATATATATATATATATAATAAAAATTTGTAGGTCAGATGAATTGGATCGTATTTACGATTCCAATGGAATAAATTATGACCATGGAATATTAAGCCTTATGGTGTTTAAGCCTTTTTATTATATCCTTACTCTGTCCTGGACATTGAGTTATTGGAATTATTTTTTATACATATATATATATATATATATATATATATGTATGTATGTATGTATGTATGTATGTATATATATATATATTTTAGATATATGTCTGCATATGTATTTGTATATTTACCACTAATATTATATATATATATATATATATATATATATATATATATATATATATATATATATATATTACAATACTTTTCAACGCTACAAACATTTCCATGTTTCGAACTTAAAAATTGTACCTCATCAGGCGATGTTAGATAACTTATGAGGAAAATGATTTACTTGAGAAATCAGAAAACAATTTGGTCGCTCTTTTGAAAGTTAAAAACGAGGGGGGAACCAAATTTTCAAAATTAAAAAACACATTTGTGCGTATGTCTTGATTAACCAATCAAAAGACGCATCAAATTTAAAATAGAAAAATGAAAATTAAGCTCAGAAGGTAGGAGTAGTTGGGTTATTAATTCATGTCTAGATAAAACTGACACATTAGATACGTGCATCACAGAAGACATACTGTTGCAAATATACGGTTTAGATACTGTGAAGTAGACATATTTAGCAAAAAAATTATTTTTAAGGAATTTCAAGATTTTTTAAAATTTTTATATACTTCAGAACTATCTTAAATGGACCTCTAGTGTAATTAAAATCTTTTTGTATATTTATTTTGACATGGACCATTTAAGTATTTACAAATTCTCATTTTTTGATATTTTACGGTAGAGGTTTTATTAATTTCTTTTAAAAGCCAAAAGTATTTAGAAAGAGATGTTTGGTTACAGTACGCATTGTTGTTAAAAGAAGATATATACTGATACCACCTCTGTTTAAAAGGGGGGTTTTTTGTACTTTTTTAAAAAGTTTGTTTTTGTTTGTTTTTTTGTTTTTGTTTTTTTTTTGTACTACCTACAGAAAATTTCTTAACAGCCGGGTTTTCAGTACATAAAATAGTGCATCGGTAAACAATTAATTCAGTAAGACTCTTATTTTTCAAAGGACAATTTTTAGGATTTCTGCAATTGCATAATTTATTATAATTATTAATTTTCACTTTGATTTAAATGTTGATTTAAAATTTTATTATGTTTTTTAATAATTTTTTTCTAAATTATCAGTACAACAGTATCGTAATTTAAACGAATTTTTATTGAAAATTTTGCTTAGAGGATTGTTACTTGGGAAATTTTTCTCAATCAAACTGAGAACTTCTGGCCTAACTTAGTGCTAACCATTTGATTAAATGCGGGTGTGTAATGATTTTTCTATTTCTATGTTTCTCATGCTTTCACTATTATATTTTCTGTATTTAATATCAGGGCATTTATAGCCACTATTTTTTTAAGGCATTATTGTAAAACTTACTGGGTTATTGCTAATTCTATATTCTATGGCGGATGGTATGTGTTTGATTATAGATGGAGGGTGATTAGATTTAGGGTGGACATATAATGGATTAGTATTTGTTTTCATGTATGGTTGGTACATATTGTTGACTAAATCTAGTGTTTCATCGAGGAAGTTTACCTTTTTTAAATTTGGCTCAAGAGAGTGGCTGCTGGAAGACCCTATGTTTGGCAACAGGATTCTGTATTAGGCCACACAAACAAGAGAAACCCTCTTAATTATTATGTGTGGGGTCAGTTGAGTGAGTAAGCAACAAAACTCAATGAAACACCAAAGATGAGATGAAAACAAGGATTATGACAACTTAAACAAGGAAACCGCTCAAAAGAGTTGCAGATTTCGAATTCGTCTGGAGACTTTGTCTAAAGCCAGTGACGATTTTATTATTTAATCTTTAGTATTTCAAGATAATTTTATGTAATTTTCGTAAATATATCTGTTAAAATGATATGCCATTGTTATTTTCATTTTCGCGTAATTTAGACGACAATTTATCCATCGGACCAGATAGATAGATAGATAGATAGATAGATAGATAGATAGAATACTTCAAAGGTTATTATAGTGGATACTTTGTATTTGATATGGATACCCCATTTCAAATACGAAATATCCACTCAACTTTTGAAGTAATAAAAATGTCGGATTTAAAATAAATCTATTAGTTCTTTAAATTAAATTGGCATATATATATATATATATATATATATATATATATATATATATATATATATATATATATATATGAATGAGTGAAAGAGGTACCTGGTGAAAATTATGGAGATAAGAAGAATAGATACCATGTGAGCCTTAACTTAAGTGGACGAGATTATAGTGTTCGGAAAAGCATCCACACTGGATCGTCTGAATGAATTACACTTTATGTCCGGTTTGAACCTGGGACTCAACAGACGTTCAAACTCTGACGTAGAAGTCCTGCCGGCTACAGCTCTGTCCTGTCTCTCCAGTATTTCTGGCCAAAAAGTAAACCACCTGGTCCTCCCCCGGTGAACTGGAGGTGCCACCACTATCCGCCACGTTGTGAATTTTTATCCGAACAGTAGTATTTCGATCCCTCAGAACGATCCGGAGGTAGGATGAATTAAATGGCTGGGCTCCACGCTGAAAGAAATCGCTATTTGTGCATAGAGGCTCTTGTCGTAACCGCAAGGGCACAAAGAAAGAAAAAATAAGCAACACTTTCGGTTCCTGTACAAAGAGTCTTATAAGGCTACTGTTTTTATATCACTACCAACGAAATTGCACGAATACAAACTGTCTTAACGAGATTCACTCGTTTGGATCGGAACGTCACAGAGAGAAAAAGACACAATTATGCCGGTCAAAATTCGGCTGTACTAAGGGAGATAAGTTGTGGTTCTTCATCCGCCCCCTCCGATATAGCAGTCGGCTTTTCTCAGCTTTGTTGACAAAGTTATCAGCATTCGCACGAGTTCGATTTCTATCTCTGGGTACGATTCGGACTTTTTGACGCATGCAACCAACTGGTCAGATCAGCAAGATCCACTAAGCTGTTTCCTTCGCGTTTTCCTTCGCGTTCTCTGATCTGCGATCTCTGATCTGCGATATCTCTCTCTCGCGCGCGTTCTCCGATCTGATCTCCGATCTCATCTGCTCAACCCAAGCATGCAGGCCGCTTATATAGAGAGAGGCGGAGCTAAACAGTTTTTAGGCACCACCCACGAATTTTAATATGCAAATCGCCTGAACCATCATGTGTCTTCCTCCGAATCTCCGAAGCTCCGCGGGAACCCAGTTTTCAAGAGGTACTAAAATCGGATTCGAACTCCCTGCTGGGTTTTCCGCAGACAACGTCTACTTAAGCCCGGCGAAAAGCACTTATCTCGTCTGAGGGCTCTGGCTGGATTTCGCCCGGCAGACCACCCAAAATCCAATTCACCATTTATCACAAGCTTTACCTAACCAACCCGTCCATTAATTACTCTGGAATTAATTCACCTAGTTAATTATTAATTCAATCCCAGAAACAACTAAGTAAAAAGAAAAAAATATTTCTGGAATTACTCCGGAATCCCTTCTACCCAACTAATTAGTACCTTCTTCCCAATCCTTTAGAACCATTGATTAATAAACCCACCTGGTGGGGGGGGTCTCTCTCTCCCTCTGTTACACAAACTAAGGAGACACATTCAGTGTCCTGTCGGTGATGATGAAACAATACTGGCTTTGTTTTTGAGGAGTTTAAAGTTATAAGTTTTTGCTTTTAAGCTATTAGAAGTCGGTCAAAGGAGATATCATTTGCAAAGCCCTGATCATCTTGATTTGGGAAGATGTACCAGTAAACTGTGATATCCTCTTTCTAGATGTTTATTAATAATCTGAGAATGTTTCTAGGTTGATCGTTAATAAAAATCAGAAAGCTGGTAGGAGAGAGTCTTGGGTAAAATGTTTGCATCAATTTCATGAGTTTCGGATGACTGACTATTCCCGTTCTTCATCACCACTTATTATAAACCATTGAATCCGTGATTTATTCGCTATAAATAGCTCGTCGAACATCCTTTCACTAGAGTTTGTACTGTTGATCAAGGGAGCTAACAATTCCACGCTTTTCTTTTTCTGTATTTTTCACTTTTTCTTTGTTTAAAAATTAAAAACAGTCTCCACACACTTTTGACGACAGTTAATTTCTATGCGACGAAAGACGAAGTCATTCAGCTGACTGATTTCTCATTATCTTTTTTTGTAATTATTCCAAATAAGATAATTATTCCATGCTCTCAGAACTCTGGCCAAAGATAAATTTAGAAATATAATGGTAGAAAATCTGCCAAAAGTCTATGTTTAAAATCAGACAATAACTATCTTTCGAACGTTGATTTTCATGGCACAAAATGTTTAGCCGGAAATATTTAATTTAAATACATCGCCTCGTCTCACACTTGGATAACTTAAAAACTATATCATTTATCGATTCGAGTAAATTTCTTAAACCTTTAAGGTCTGTGAGTGCTCTTTAGAATTGTCCTTGCATCAGACATTCGTCTTTCTCTAGAAATCACAGTAATCAAAATTAATTTTGTTTAAATAGAAAAATACTCTACTTTCATGTGAACATTTTAATTAATCTTCATCAGAATTAATTAGGATTAATTATTTTGCAAAATTCCCATCGATAAAAATATTAAAAGTTATACTGAACGATGTTATTGGATAAAATTATGGAACAATTTTATTGTAAACAAGTTCATTGAAACTATATGGGAATAAATGGCACCCATCCTTTAAAATAATGTTTAAGATTAATTCTTGATAGGTGGCTGAGATAGTTGTGTGTTTCTTTGTTTTAAGTGTCTCTGTCAATGTCAACTGCCGATTTGGCTTCGTGTCAGATTAAATCAAATTTTCTCTTCTGCTTGAGGTATTTTTTTATTCTTGTAATCGACTTAAATTTGGTCGAATTGGATTGACCAAAAAAAACGTTTGCTTTTATCATTAGGATCTTTTGATTTGAAATAACTTCGGTCAAAACGATTGCCTTGGATTGCATTGTGTCACCTGTCATATCAGTATTAATTTTTTCATAATTGTCATACCAATTTTTTTTCTTTCGCTGAAGACGGAAGAAAACGAGAGCAACATTTTCGATTCCATGGAAGACAGGAAAATGACAAATTTTTAAAGAGAAATATGAAAATCTATTTTCCTCCATTGATTTTTGTCGTCATAAGAGATAAGAATTTGGCAACAAAATTCAATAGCTGAAAGATTCATAAGATAGGGTAGATGTCCGGTTCATGCCTTTTGTAAGAGAACAACGAAATGATTTGCAGTAATCGATGACGAATTTGAAATTATACAATTAACTTTCAATTATAGTTTGTTTCGCCCGTTCCTACTAAGTTTTCATGGATGACATTTTATGCAAGTTCAAAATCTTGCAAGTCTCGAACTATTTAGAAAAAAGTATTTGTTGCAAATATTGGAGCATGCAGATGGAAGAAACATTTGTTAAAGAAAAACTAATAACTGAGAATTGGAAATTGAATTATCATGAAAGGCCAAAGTTTCAACCAAAATGTTTATTTATGAAAATGGTATGTCACCATTTCACTATAATCGTAATAAAAACATGGCATCCAACCAAACATTGACCGTTTCAGAATATCAATTTAGTGCTTGTAAAATCTGCAATATGCATGTTTATAATTAAACACTTATATCTAATGTTTAGTTAGCCAATCAGCAAGTCAAGATGAGTCAAACAAAATCAGTGTCTTTAGGTAAAATCATCTGTGGAGAGTCTTCTTCTTCTTCTTCTTCTTCTTCTTCTTCTTCTTCTTCTTCTTCTTCTGTGTACCTTGTTCCTTCAGAACCTTAGCTATCATGACTCTCCACAATTTCCTTAGCCAATTTTGTCTTTTTGTTAACTCTCCTAGCCCTTGTTCTGCCACCCTTTTACACATTTATGCAGGGGTTATGCGGTCTTTCGCTCTCTTCCTTTTGCTTTTAATATGTCCTGTGAGTGTCAAATTTTCCAAGACCTCTTTCCTCATTGTGTGCCCTAGAAATCTCTTTCTGATGTTAAGTATACGTGTCATTTCTCTTTCTATTTTCTCACATGTTCAGTCCAAGTATTCGCAGTATCCTTCTGTAGAACAACATTTCTGTTGTCTCACGTCTCTCTTCTTCACTTGTGAAGATTGTCTAGCATTCAGTGCCATATACGAGAACTGATATTACGTAACGGTTCACTTTTTTGTTTCTAACGAAATGTTCATGTTTCTTAATACTTGACTGAGCTTTTGAAAGGCATCTTTCGCTATCCCAATGCGACCTCCTATTTCCGTCCATGTTATATTATTAAATTTCAAAGCGGTCTCTTAGACTGGTGCTAGGAATTATTTTAAAAACCGTGAGCCTGACCAGATTTACGCTATTATTTTAATTGTGTTAAGATATATAAACAAGTTTCTTTATGCTTTTTTCATTGAAGTATCTTTAAGGTACAAAACCTCATGGTAGTCAAGAATTTTCCAAAATTCAGTGACCGATAATTCAACTGTTAAATTTGCCATTATGGAATCAAAGAAATGTGCAGATGGCCCCAGCCGTTAGTCGGATCAGAAATGTTGGGGGTGGGGCAATAAGACACGCCAAGTACAAACATGATTATGTTACGTTTGTATTTTTAGAAAACTATTAACAAAAGAGAACGTCTTTTCACATCAACACCAGATGACTGATAAGATAAATTCAATTTGATGTAAAAGGCCAAACGTTTGCCCTTAAACGAAAAAGAAAGGAAAAAGAAATCAATTCAGAGAAAGAGACACAAAGAGAAAGAGAGAGAGAGAGAGAGATAGGGTGAAAACGAATGTATATAGAAAAAGAAAACTTGAAGAAAAGCAGGAAATGAAGAAAAATGTAAACAGACATAAAGAAATAGACGGAGAGAGGGAGAGTGAAGAGAAAGAAAGAAACAAAGAAACAAAGAATAAATGTTAAAGAAAAGGACAGGTGAAACATGTCGAAAAATAAAGAAAGAAAGAAAGAAAGAAAGAAAGAAAAAAGAAAGAAAGAAGAATTATTAAGGGAGGAAGACAGAAAGAAATGAGAAACAGAATGTGAGAATGAAAACAAAAAGGACAAGAAAAATCGAAAAAGAAATTTAGAATGAAAGACATAACGAGCAATAAATATATAAGAAAAAAATTGAAAAAATAAAACAGATTTATTAAGTTTAATTAAATTCTCAAGCATTTAGTAAATTTCAATTTGGTTATTCATAGGTTAGCCATTCAACGGCTAAAATTCGGGTAGGGTTCAATGAACCTATATAGTTGGGAGTTCGGCCGATGCAATCCACCAACAAAATTTTGATATTTTACAAATTATTGGCGAATTTTGGCAGAATATTCTCAAGTCAACATTAGCTACTTCAACGCAGCGGCTTATGAATCCATCGCTAAAATGGTTTTGTTTTAATAACAAACACTTCAAAACAATATCGATTTTGTTGAAAATTTCACTCATTAAAAATAGTTGCTTCAGGGGCCCCTCTGGGATTAGAAGCCCTGAAGCTTAAGCTTCATTAGTTTCATAGTAGATCCGCCACTATATATATATATATATATATATATATATATATATATATATATATATATATATATATATATATATCTGTGTGTGTGTGTTGTGTATTTGGGCAGCAATCCATCTTTTATACAGGCTTCGTTAAAGACGATGACAATGTAATGCGATTAAACATTTTTTATTTAATTTTTCTTGTGTTCGTACAAGTGTTTTCATTTCTGGACACAAAGAATGTAAAATCTGTCCAAAAGCTCTGTATATCCGTGCGCTCTCGGCTGTTCTTTTAGCTATTATCAAGGATGATTTTTACTTTTAACTGAATGTGTTGGTTTTTTTATGTATTTGTCTGAAGTTATGGGAATGTCTTATTTTCCAAACACGTTCAGCACATTGTAGCCGTGTTTGTAGTTAATATTATTGAATTTTGGCTTTTCCTTTTTTATTATTAGAGCTTTCATTATTTTTAATCGTTTTCACATGGTGTTGAGGCTATATTACCTATATTTTCTACTAGTATGTTTCGGATGAAGTTTGGTAGGTTTTCGTGTGTACTTAAATGTGTCTTAATTGAGTTATGGTCGGCCAGGTGTAACGTGAGCCGTCTATATAGGCATGTAGTAGTGTGACTAATGTAATTATTGATGAGTTTAGCTTGATCAAGAAGACAGTTCCTTAAGGGACATTTGTACTCGTAAATAATGTTGGTTCTTTGTAGTTTTGATTTTGCGGGCGTGTTGTTATTTTTTATGATAATGTTAGCTGTTCTAATTTTTTATAATAGACAATTTACTTTTCTTGTTAAGATCGACTGAGGTTGAGTATATCTTTATATTTCTAAGAGAAAATTCGTCTTGCTTATAGTTAACATGTATTTGAATTTCGTAGATGTTATTGTTTTTATCCGTATGTTCAGTATCGATATTATTTACTTTAGAAAGAAATAGTCTAATCTGGTGGTCGATGAGTTAGGAAAACCGTTGTTAACTAACGTCTTTTTTACATTATTGAGTTCTTTAAGGAAAAGGGGACGAGAAGAATTCTCGTCTTCTCTCTTTAGAATTTTTTTATAACTACTAGTTTATATCTAGGTCGGCATTCACTCTTAAAATTAAGGTTGCTAGAGTGGCTTTTCTGTACAATGAAGCGGTGAATGTGTTATTATTGCATTCTACGAGAACAGTTTTATTTTTTGACTAAGTTCATAGATAAAGTTTTTTTCGGATTTGGTTAAGAGATAATAAATTTCTTGTTTCTTTTTCGCTAAAATACAAAAATATCGTCTCCATAGCGACTTTTGAGGCTTAGTAACATTTTTTTTAAATGTCGTTTTTTGTACGTAGGACATGTAATAGTTGGAGAAGCACGGGCCGAGGTAATTTCCCATACTAACGCCATTAGTTTGGGTCTAGATATTGGTATTATAGTCATAGAAAAATTCTATAGTTGTGCAGGGGTGCAATAATTTTGGAGGATATTTAGTTTGATGGATGGAAGTGGAATGAAATTTTATACGCAGATTTGAGGATTATTTCGATGATTTGATAGACGGGGAGGTTTGTAAATATAGTTTTAAGGTATGTTATATTTATGAGTAAAAGTTTTCACTATCTGGGATAGAGAGTATGTAAATATAAAAGTAAATACTGAGTTCAACACCGAGTGACAACAGAACTCGAGCCTGGGTAATCACTTTTGAACTATATACTAGCAATACTGCATTGTTAGTCTAATCTGTACTTGGCGGGGCTGTAAACAGAACCGGCCATGCGCATGAATATGTGTCAACAGGCGAGACGGGGGGCTACAAATTTAAGCAGCATATTTGCTCTGCTGCGATCTTTATATATATTATTTTTTATGAATCAGGAAATCTTGTTAAGAGTTAATTATTTTCACATTTTCTTCAAAGCTCACAGTAGAAATTTTGAAATTGTTTCAAAGAATTCAGAAACATTAAACTTAACTGTGATAAGTCCTTTTTCCGCAAAATTTTGAAATGGTAGATGTTTTACAAATGCACAACCAGCCTAAGATATTTTAATACCAGCTTAATTGCATAGATAGATAGATAGATAGATAGATAGATAGATAGATATGAATAAAATCAGATAGTTAGATATGAATAAAATCATGTAGATAGATATGAATAAAATCAGATAGATAGATAGATAGATAGATAGATAGATAGATTCAGTTTTGAGAGAATCCGAGAGAGTTATAAGAGAATAACCCGAGAAAGAATATAAAAGACATGAAACAACAAATGGTAAGAAAAAACTTAAAGAAAGTTAACAATTTTAGAATTGCCATTTCACTGGCGTCATCACCAAACGTTTTGGCTCTGATAAGTTCTGGCAAATGTTTCGTTTACTTTTCTGGTTAATTTCTTTTTTTCGCGGCAGACAATGGATGCTTTTATAAAGGACATTTACGGCCAGGCCCTAATTCTGGAACGGTCAATAAGCAATCATAAACAGTCGGTAAGCGAAACGAAATTACGAAGAAATGTCTATTTTACGCGGCCTTTATTCTTGATTCTTTCTCTAAGGCATACAAATCATACAACTCAAGCAAAGAATATGAAAAGCAACAGAAAGTTAAGAACTGTACAAAAACTGTAGAAATAAAAAATATTGAATTTAAAATGAATAAAAAAAAACTTTAGTAGGTCATCATCTGCTAATGAATAGATTTTCAGAATATTTCAACATTTTTTATTTCCATTTTCTTTTCGATTTCTTTTATTGAAAATCATTGCTATACTTCCATGTGATTGATTGTTATGATATTTCACAGGATTCATGGTTTCGCTTTAGAAAAAAAAAGCAATTTTTCCGATAAGGTCGTCTGATATCTGAGTTGGTTGAGGAATTCAAAACAAGCATTTGCTTCTGGTTGAAAGTTTGACGAAACACAAACTACTTAACTCCCATGTACCTTTGCGCGTTATAGCATTTTAAATTATTGTTATTAACAGAAATATATCAATCAGTTTTTCACTCTTTCCTTTGATTTTAAATGTTTCAGTAATCACAGCCGAAAATGGTTACGTCATTATAATTAATTTGAAACATTAACATCTTTTGCTGATAAAGCAGAATGTTTTCCAATTCTACTTTCAACTCATCTGTAGTATCTTTACCTGACTTTCCACTTAGAACTGACTCTCTGTGATATAATTCCTTTATTTTAAGACATTTTTTATGTTTATATGTTCTTTTTATAGTTATAAACATTTAAGTAAATGCTCTGTTTATAATAAACAGTATTAACAACTTAATGTTAAAAAATGTCTTAAGATAATTGTCGGTCTTTGTCCATTTCATAATGTGTGACGTCATTTGTTTACATTTGGATACGCATCGAGCAAATATGAATTTACGTGAGAAAATCATGGAAAATTGTCGTTTAAAAACAGTAAAATCGACCTTGCTAACAGAAACGCTCCTCTGTGGCTAAATCGGTAAAAGCACGTCGTACAGTTCAGTATAAGTTTTTTTTTTTTTTTGTTTTGTTTTGTTTTTTCTACGTTACAGCAACAAACACAGAAATCGTCTGATTATAATACCTTCTTTTCTGTGCTGCTTCCCTTCAGGACATAAGTGATCATGAATCTCCATAACTTCCTATCTCGATCTTAGCAGTTTTTCTCACCAGGCCCGTTCTGCCATCCATTCAGACAATGTTTTCAGGTAGGTAGCTCGCCGTCTTCCCCTATCTCCCTTCACCTCAATATATCTTGTGATTGTTACGTTTGCTAAGACTTCCTTGCTCATTATGTGTTCAAGGAAATTCAGCTGTCTCTTCCTGATTCAAATTTTCTTGTTGCCTTATTCTTAAAGAAAATAAGTGTTCCTAGCACATTTCAAATAGATCTTTGTATCGTACCTTAGCAAATGCGTTTCTGTAATCTATAAAACATAAGTGCCCATCCTTACATCCTTCTGCACTTGCATTACCCTCTCTCCTCTCTCTCTCTCTCTCTCTCTCTATCTATCTATCTATCTATCTATCTATCTATCTTCTGGTTCCGGTTTTCTTGACAATGCTGCACTGTTCTCGTCCTATTTCCGGTCTAATTCTGCTTCGCGTTCTATTCATCAAGATTTGCATCATTAATTTGACTTTATGACTCATTAAACTGATTTTTCAATGGAACTCATTTGCACCTGGTTTCTTAGGTAATGTTACGAAGATGGATTTATTGAGATCCTCCGGCATGTTTTCACTGTCGTAAATTTCGTTTATAACTCCTGTGATTTTGTAGATGCCAATGTTTCTTTGGTTATTACATTATCGGATCCAATGATCTGATCCGTATCAATAACGAAAAAGATCCCACCTGTGACATTATGATCGGATTAAATTTTATCAAAGCATAATTTAATGCTTAGTAAAGAGTTGAAATAATTATTTAAAAGTTATTTTAATGTATTTTCTGAGTGTTTAAATGCCTATTTATAAACGATATTAATGTTTATTTTATAACTGCGTTTTAACGCGCATTTCATTAGCACTTGTCATGCTTTTTACATCTATTTTATAAGTTTTTTTTTTTTGGCATATGTATTTTATAAACGCTTTTCACTGTGCATCTCATAAACGCTTCTTAATCTTTATTTTATTCATTTTTTTAATGTGTATTTTATATGCGTTGAAAAATAATC